ACATTTGTTTTAAATATATGAGAAAACTTTTAGTATATTTGATTGGATAGGAAGTCAGAATTCCTGTGACGCCACTAACGTCCTTTGGCAAGACATTAATCTACATTTGCCCCCGGTAAAAGAGACGGAAAAGGGAAAAAAGAAGTCGAGGAGTGAGTCAGTGAGGGCCTTTATACAAATAATTAATTCACACTCTTAAAAAAAGTTCAATCCAGGAGCGCCATGTCGGTCCACCGCGGTTCTGCTCGGTGATAGATTTCGTGATCGTGAGAAGAAGGTCCGCTAGCATTTACATGACAGAATATTTCCTGGATCTTTCGTCTGTTGAGAGCCAGAAGAGCATTAAATGAAACCTGACACCAAGAAATAACTTTAATTATTTTGAGAGATTTATTATAGTCTTGCCCTTTCAGATTCCCTACCAATAAAGCAAGAATAATGAACAGTTTCTCAGCACGACATGTGCTTTGCCATTTTTCTTGGACGTAGTATGTGAAGGCGTTTTATCAAGTAAATGTCTTCGTATTTATGTATGCTTCCTTCCAAGGTGTGTGTAGCCTATAATCTAGGCGGAGTGCCGAGCTTTTTTCTTTGCTGCTAGACTAACCCTAAGCAGAACGTCTGATACGGCGAGACTACGAACCGTGAGTCGCGCTCACGGTTCGTAGTCTCGCCGTATCAGACGTTCTGCTTAAGGTTAGTCTAGCAGCAAAGAAACACTCTCGGCACTCTGCCTAGATTATAGGCTAAGGTGTGTGTGGTGATGAAGCATTTCATTTACCTGCTTTTATCCTTTCTACTACGATTGCCAGAACGTAAATTGCATATAGAAGTTGGTGCTCTTCTGAGGTGAAGGCTTATCATAAACACAAGATTTTTCAACTGCTATATTTTAGTATTTTAAAATGAATTAGTTACAGTTATTCCCTTGTTATATATTTTCCACCAAATATAATTTCTACTTCTCAGCTGTGATTTTTTCTCATTGAAAAGTAAAGGTTTTGTTATTGATTCAGAATTTCTTTGTGCATGATCTGTACAACTTCAACTGGTACGTCGCATTTTCAAGAAAATGGCTGCGCCCATGTCATGCTAAAAGGCATCATATCATGCCAAAGATATCTTTGTTTATATGACTCTTGTACACTTTCGTAAAGAATATTGTACATCAAATGGCAGGAATACATTTCATTAATCAGAATACCTACACTAATTTTTCTTTGGGATGAGGTTTCATTTAACACTTTGTTAAAGCATAGATCGTTAATACCATTCCGATTCCAAATATACGCTTTGTTGTTTTTGTTTTTGTTAGATTGTATGTTGCCTTGTCATCACTATTATCACCGATATCACAGAAGTATTAATATTCAACAAGTTAAGTATTCTCGCACCCCAACCCCCTCCCTCTCTCTCCACCGTACCTCTCTCTCTTTCTCTCTCTGGCATACACAAACACGCGCGCACACGCACACACACATTCGCTCTCTCCCTCTTTTTTCTCTTTCCCTCCACCTATCTCCATTCTCTGTTTTAACTCTATAACTTTCTCCAATCTCTTCCATCCTCTAGAGACAAGAGCCTTACTAAGACCCCCCCCCCCCCAGTTTTGGCCCATTAGTTAGGCCATGGACTACAAATCCTGGCTTAGACTATGGTTAGTAGGAGAAAAGGATTGTCGGCCCGCAGAGCCCCCTTCCCGAACAGACCCCAAGTTGGATAAAATATGTTACCCTCAGTTTAGCCCATGCAACAAACTTAGTCCAAAACAAAAAAAAAGCACTATCACTGTACACGTTTAACGGTCAGACGCCCCTAAAATTGAGTTTATTTTTTTTGCATTGATAGAGCATTGACCAAATTTTGTCCGAAGGAAGAGTTATGTCTATGGTATATTACAAAACTAACAAACAGCTCCCATGGTTATTGAGAGAGTGTCAGAACCCAAGTAAGATGGCCAAGCGTTTTATTATATTGTATGAAATAAATGAATATGTGTTACCTAGAGACAGTTTTAAACAGCACTAAATAATTACACTACGCGAATTTGAGATATAAAGTGAATAAAGCACTTCTGAGTTGTTGAGAAAAGCATTAAATACTTTTTCTTTACTTTCAGAACAGATAAGGGGAACGTTTTGGTAAGGGGGACTTCGATATTTTTCCGTTTCCAAGATCTAAAAAAAACGTTGTGGAATGTACTAGTACTTGTGGAGTGATTGTACCACCGTAACAATGTTTGTGTTTGTAATACACGTTGAAACTTTATTTCGACAACATCTGGTGCATACAATTTAATTCAGGACAGAATCATAAGACAAATCGTGAGTCTATAAATGTGAGTTTAAATCATAAATCCTTTATTTTGATATATATTTTTTTTGTCTTCAAGCACGATAATCGTACGTCAATTTGAAAAACACAATATAGGCATCGTGTAACAATCATAAATGTAAATCACATGTCACTTATCAGTGTCATGATTGCGCCCTTACATAGTTACTGCTAGTGCTCTTTTAAATTCAACTCAATCTTAAGTGATATTTCATATATCCAGAAAATGAATCAAACCACATCACTACAAAGGACCTACACAAGGAAGAATGAGAACCTAAAACAGTATTCAAATGACAAGGGTTCCTCTGATCTATATCTTTATAATACGAGTAATTTGACTTGATATAAAACCATTTGACAGAGCAGTCAAACGAAATGTTATGGATCACATAATATTGTTTACACATACAAAGTTATTAAAAACACACATCATTTTGAAAACCGAGAATTCAGAGTCTTCACAAATACCATACATGAAAACAGTATACTCCAAAATAATTGTATGCAATTTGATTTTGATAGAGACGTGACAGTAATAACAGTATAACATGTATACATTTGATTATTTATTTATAACAGTTATACATGTATTGTTTTTTTTGAACGATATTTGAGCGCAAGGGGACACTCCGTCATGTGCACTTTAGTCAAGTAAGTCAAGAATATTAATATTTTAGTTTTTAATTGGCTTAATTAAAGGGCCCAATGTCCCGAGGAATATACAATCTTATGAAATACATAAAAATGAAAAATATAAATTGTAATATAAAGATACTTAAAATCGAAAATATGAAGAAAGATTATAATATTTTCAACGGCTAAACAAAAGATAGACAAGCAGGCGACTAAATTTACAGAGACTAACAGCTGTAACACAATGGCCATGACTATTTGGTGCATGCATATTGCATGCACTCCAATGCATGGACATTAATGTTTCAGCTGTACGAGCAAATTCATCAACTGCCGAACAGTCCTAATACTTCTCTTATATTATATACCGTAGCAAATATAAGCTTTAAAAAGTATGGTTAGTTGTTTTTGATATTTCAAAGAAGAATAATCCACTTTACGAGTGTCCGTATACATTCGACTTTTACTTCTGAATTAAATCAACTCTTATACTTTATTAAAGATAGTTTTATAATGGTGTGGTTGCTGAAAGCCCAGCCTCGTAGACAAATATTCGATCTTTTTGTTCTTTAACAGGTCTGTGGCAGTGTTATCAATAGCATGAATATTCACAAGTATCTTATCTACGTAATCATAATATAGGCCTACAACCGAAAACAAGAGGTGATTCCCCATTAGTATGTCCCTGTAGCTCACCACTCACGTAAGTGTCTGTATCATGAGTTCATATCCAAAGTTCATATCCAGAGTTCAATTATTTGTTTACTTAAATGACAAAACGCGATAATTTTAACGCCATGAATATTGCTTTAACGATTTCTCTGCAAGGGTGATGAGCCCCTGAATGTTTCAAGCAGATATAATTCTGATTTCATTTTATTTCAAGAAAAAAAAAATGCGCTGACGGTCTTATCGCAACTTTCTCTAAAGGCATTTATACGCGATAGTCTTTTCCGCATCGCTTCTGCCTGTACACTGACACACGAGAACCAGAAACCGTGTCCGATTTATTTTCATTTTTATTTTTTTAAAGATGATTTGTTTAATAGAAACGTTTAATTAATTGTTAAATTGATACGCCTGGAGGAAGGAAGAAGGGACCGGGGGGCTGTAAGAGTGGATGGGAGAGAAAGAGAAGGAAAGAACGAAATAAAGAAATATAGGGGTCTAGGAGAAGATAGAGAAAAAGAGGGGAGGAAATACAGAGAAGGCGATAAGAAAGAGAGTGAGAGAAAGAGAGAGAGGGAGAGAGAGGAGAGAGAGGAGATAGAGAGGAGAGAGAGAGAGAGAGGGGATAAGAGGTGAGAAAGAGGAGAGAGAGAGAGAGAGAGGGGAGAAAGAGGAGTGAGAAAAAAAGAAATACAGACAGACAGACGTGAGACGAAAGAGCGTCCTAGAAGTCCTGAATAAACGAAAGCATATCTGTTATCATGACGTATTCCAAGCCCCTCGTTTCACGATACACCGTAAGCTGGACCTTAATCGTAAATAAACTAAACCGACGTATCAAATTATGCGTGGTCTATTTTACCAATTCGGTTTTCTTTTATAAGTGAGGAGAAAGCATCCTTTTGTTCTTCGCACGTTTTAAACTATTTCACATCATCATTTATTTACTGGATATTATTTACATGAAGCTGTGTACAGATATTTATTCGTTATGAAAAAAGTGGACTAAATAACGTCAATATAGTCAAAATAATAAAGATTTAAAACAAGATGTAGATATCTATTCCATATATTCTTCAGGTAACTGATACTGGGTCACACGCTAACGGCGCTTCTACAGTATTTGTATTTACACGAATCTGTGTAAAGATATTATCCATTCAAAAGGAACAATAGACTACAAAAACGTCAAAAGAATAAATATGTAAAACAACAACAACAACAAACAAACAACAGATTTCTATTCCATATTTCGAGATGTAACCGATATTCTGCCATGGCGCCAGAAAAAGCCTATAAATTGAGATAGGTTTTAGGCAGAACTCATCCTGCTAAGGAAACCACTCCCGAGAACACAGAAGATCCACAAACCTCCACCATGAAGACCAACGTTTGGATCCTGATAGCTGTTTTGGCCCTCGCCTGGTATCGTATATTCTTAATTCCATTCTTTATTCAGTTGCTACACACATCTATGCAATATGCACACAGCGCTATATACATATGTTGGACTATTCCAACAAAGAGTGACTTAAAACTAGGAAAACATTGATTTATTTAAAAAACTACATTCCATGTTTTAGTTTTAACGAATATAATCATAGACCCTAATGTTATCTTTTCTGTAGGTCCCAATAAAGAGTTGCATTTCTGTATAGATATTTTTCAATCTCATCAGGAAACAGAAAATAGAATCGGCAAAAAAAAATGATAGCATTGGACATTACATAAGCCTTCTTCCAGAAAGAGAGAAAAGGAAAAGAAAAGACGTACAATGACAAAGCTAGCACTAATATTTAGAGGTGTTGTGGTCCAGTGGATAAGTCTGCAGACTGTGAATCACAAGGTATGGCTTTTGAATCCCTGCGCACCAATAACGTCCTTTGGGCAAGACGTAAATCTATATCCACTACACTCGTCGTAGGTGTAGTAGGTGGGTTCCTTGTAGGATTCATTCCTTGAGTGTACTGAGCGCTACACACAGTTGCCGGGTCTAAAGCAGGGCTCCGTCAGAAGAGCATGGAGACGCAATATCATGTGGAATGCACTTTACAAGACCGGGAACTTGTCATTATTTTAACACTGCTGCCCATGAAGTTGGAATACATTTTCTTACCTCTGTTCATGAAATGATTGTGACAATATTGTTGTATTCTTGATCTATAAAGAAAGGTTATACCCTCTCAGAATGTTCTTGATGAATCTATTGGGAAACAGTGTGTATATTGTGTGTTTATATTATTATTATCCTCATCATAATTATTATTGTTATTTATCATTACTATTATTAGTTATTATTACTATTAGTGTTATTATTGGTATAACTATTACAATTACGATGACTAGTACTACTATGTGTTTTCGAATACCTTGCCAGGGCTAACATGGTAGTAAGCTACTCTTCGGAGTCCGATGATGATGACAACGAACTCACCGATGAAGACCTGTGCGACGAGGGACCACCCATGGACGTCGAAACACACAAGAGCCTGAAATGTTCATGCACAACCAGCTATATAGTCACTTCCCCAGTAAGTTCATAAAACAATATTACAATCAAATTATTTAGAGTTCTAACGGGTAAATTACAGTTTAGCAATTCGATTGCTCTAGTCGTCTCTGTGCACGGTCGTCCGTTTGCAACACCTGCAATTTTGCACAAAACAATTGGCACCGATTGACGGAGAGGGTTGATGTGTGCAACTCACTGGTTTGGTAAAATGACCACTTTTCAGTCCATTCTTGACAACCCTGTTTAACACCGGTATATAATCTATAAATCTTGCACCGGAAGCAGTTCGATGGTCTTGAAGCCGTCCCATGATAAATACAATGTCGTACAGCGAGATTACAATCATGTATTTGTATGGCATATACAGAGTTAGGGACATGACTGACGTTGAGTTCTGGTTATTCAATTACATTGTGACAGAGACAGTCTCAAAGCGAGGTTGGTGATGTAGTACTTAAAATTTTCGAATATGTCGGAGCTTAGAATCATCAAAATGTTTAGAAATTGAAATTATCTCGCTGAAAAGCACATGTTCTACTCACAAAACAATTTAGTTACATGATTCTTTTGTCATATTCCGATGCAGAATGGGCCTATGTGAGATTTGATGTGAAATCAAACGTCAATTGCTTTTCTCACTCTCATCATTTTGAAATTTGGTCGACATAATTATTGATGATTTTTATCATGTAAATGCAAGCGGAATATTGCAGCGGTCAGAGCACTTGTCGAAAGGCTGTTTCCAGGCCTTGAATATCCACAAAATTAATGATATTGATGATATTCAGCTTTTATATATATATATATATATTGTCCTTTGACATGGCGCCTCGTTTTTTTATTTGCTCTTCTCCTTTTGTTTCCCCTTTCCGCAGGACCAGCACAGTTATAACAGGCTCTTCAAAAAGATCGACAAATTGAAAGCATGCCGTGACTGCTCCACAATAAAACGAGCATTCACCGATGTTCTCCTCATTGTCTCCGTTGAAACCACAGAAAAGTGTGCTATAAAGGTAACAGCCAAATGTAATCATGATACTCAATACATGCATTCGTTAAGACTTATTTTGGAATAAATCTGACAGAATTAAAGTTGGTGTAAAAATGAACAAGAATAACTCTGTACCCCTGTGTAGAACTCACATACAGTCCAAAATGTCATTACATTTTCAAACATGTACTCACTGTGGCTCTCTTTAACCATCTTTTCCTGTTTTAAAGAATTCTCCTCTTTAACAGTTCGCAGAGATTCATTCAGTTAACAAACATCGCTTTCTCTTTCTAGCCTTGTCAATGATTTTAATAAACCTTTTATAAAGTGGGATGGAGGGAGGGAAGGGGGAGGACAAGATATTTGTAACAAATTATAACGTGTAAAACCTTAAAGGCATCGTTTAACAATGTTAAATCTGAGATGCATGGCCCTACGTGTTACCACGTGTCTGTGATATGGTGTAATATTAAAGCCCTAAAAATCGCGCTTCATAATGATCAAGAAATGCCTCAAAAAAGTAAAAATCTTTGAGTGACCGGTTTTACCGTACTCGTTTTCCGCAATAGACTGTAGTGTTATGAAAACCGTTCGGCTAACGCAAAATTTGGTTTTGATTTCCAATCATAAATATCTTGATAATCAGACAGACGATCAACTTGTAAAATTCATGGGGTTCCTGACTGACATAAAGGTTTATATTTATCATTGCAGCATGAGATAAATCCAGGATTTTTTTCTAAAATCTGAGACAAAGTTATCGGATCCCTTTAACAAAAATGTTCATCATACTTTCTTATTTCTCGCTGATGGCAACGAGTGGTCGTCAATTTACAAACTCATCTACAGACGAGCAAAAAGGTCATAAATTTCCCCCTTATGCCGCAGCTCTGGATATGCCTACTCTCTAAACAAAAATCGAGTGATCACGGACGTCACTCCTCTGGAGAGTGAAAATGTAGTGAAAATAGAATGAACATTCACTTTTTTCTTCTTAGAGAGCACTCTAAAATCAATCGATTTTCACTCCTAAACAAGTGATCACGGACGTCACTCCCAAGAAAGTGAAAATAGAATGAAAATTCACTCTTTTTTTTAAGAGAGTACAGAATTGTTAAGGGGCGGGGATGTCATATCCCCTGCACCCTTTAGCCGTTAATCGTCACCTCGTCGATGAAAGACACGAGAGACATCGACAGTATTATAACGTTAGAGCCTTTTTTTACATTGAACCGACCGTTTCTGATCTGTTTTCTCCCACAGTTAGCTAAGAAAGGTTATCTTGTGGAAGAGAACTCGGTACAAGAAGTCGGCGCTGCTCTGCCTACCCTGCCCGTCAAGCTACTGGACCGAATCGATCAGGTAGATCTTCCCCGTGATGGAGCTTCTTATGACAGAAGTGAGTCAATAACAATAGTTATTATAATGATAATAATAATGATATTAATATCAATTATTATTATAATGTTAATAATAATTATAATAATAATAACAACAATGATATAAAAAAATATTATGAGAGACTTTTAAGGCACCGAATCCTGATCACATCGAATCAAACTCTCAAAGCGCATAGGTGCATGTGATAAAATCCCATGAAAGTGCTTGCATTGTACACAATGGACAACAGAAAGATAGAACATATCAACATGTAAGAAAACGATTTATTGTTTGCTAATTCAATCACAATTTCCCTAGAAACTGTTGGGGTTATAAGGCCATTAAAAAAAAATATACATGTTAGCGTCGCCGCTCGCTTCCTTTTTGGGAGCCGCCTCCTATTTTTTTTAGTTTTTTTGGTTGAAATTTTTTTATTTTTTTATTTTTTTAAAGAAAAAAACATGAAAAACATAGCTAAAATGGATCTATTTCTGATTAAAAAAATTTTAAAAAAATAAATGTCGGCGGCCATTTTGAAAAATATCCCGACTGTCAGGGAAAATGTACCGAGCGGCCATTTTGAGCGACCGTTTTGAAAGAAAAAAAAAGGGGGGGCCTCCTCCTTCCTATTTTTCGAAAAAACAGGACGCTAAACATGTTTTTTTTTTTTTTTTTTGGCCTAAAGGCTGCAAGGCCCGCAGGAAGAGTCGTTCTAACACTGATAAAAGACCACATTTGTATTTATTATTTCACTCTACTACAGGTAGGTCTTTATGGCGCCATATATTATTTCAGGAGGCTAGTGAAACATTATCTATGACGGTTTCGTCGGTTCATAAAACCGCCGACGAAGTATTGTTTCACTGGGCTTACGTAGCCCTTTAAATATAGGGTTCGGCTTTACCCGACTTCAAGCTTTGTAACGTCCATGTTTTTATTTTCTTTCTCAGATGATGCGACAGACGTGACTATCTTCATTCTTGATACTGGAGTCCTGTTTACTCACGATGAGTTTACCAACGGCCGCGTCAGCTTTTATAACGATACCGTTACACCAAACGTGAGTATCATTCTTACTTCACGACTCTTTAGCATTTTACGTGAATCAAATTAAGCCGCCCTCTAGCTATGCATATCATGCGTATTGCGAAGGAAATATTAGTACTCTAGGCCTAACGTTAAAACAAGGGGGTTAAGGAATGTTATCCTTGGAATATAGACCTAACAAAGTTATGCCCCCTCCCTTAAAACAAAATCTAATTACTAACCATGCAAAAAGTCGTGTTTGTCAGAAACCTGGAAAATATGGCGTATGGGGGGGGGGGGGGGGTAGACAGTCCATTGCGGATGCCTAAAGGCTGGTCCAGATGTGACGCGGTGAATCACCCCCCCCCCCCCGAATATATTTGTAATAAATCAAATAAAAACAGCCGCTGTTTACCGCTAGATATCTGAACGAGGCATTACATTATTAAGTTTTCATTTCTCTCATAAATCCTGATTCTTGTTTTGTAGTCGCCCATTATGGTGGACGTCAATGGACATGGGACCCGCTGTGCGAGCGTAGCCGCCGGAGCCAACATAGGAGTCGCTCAGGGCGCGACCGTAGAGAGCATTCGGGTAGCTGGATCCGATGGCTTAGCCGCCGCTGATGACGTCCTCGCAGGTATGTACTTTGTAATTTTGAAATTGTGAGCTTTTTCATTCTGTTTATGTTAGTGTAGAAGGATGGTTCTTCAGATGCCCTCATATTCATAATATGACAAATACTCGCTGAATGTTATTTGGACCACATTATCATGCCACAAGCACGGTCCAAAGTGTTTTCAGCACTTTGGACAAAAACAAAAATCGAGTTTCTTTTTAAATAACAATAATATTTGAATTATTATAGGCCTACCTTACCCTAACACCTATCCTTAGCCATAACACCCAAACCTAGCCTACAATCCACTGAACGCAACCTTTCCACTACTCTATTACCAATCACGAAATAAATCAAGCAGCAATAATATGGCAGGACCACTTGTAATGTAACCTACATTTTTGTTTCTTACGTCCCATTAATACAGGGCTTGACGACGTTCAACGGTGGTGGAACAACAACCCAGGTTCTAAGTGTGTCGTCTCCTACTCACTGATTTCCACGTCCTTTAGTACGACACTCAACTATGCTTTCGGGAACCTCAGCGCGAACACCGATTGCGTGGTCGTCGTGGCAGCTGGAAACCAAGGTTCGGACATCAGCATGGCTAATGCCTGTAACTACTCTCCGTCTGGATCACCTGATGTAAATATTAGGGTCTTTTAGTTTTGCACGTTGAAATAGTGGGCTGCTACGTGTGACGTCCTTTTAAGGCGGTGGCAGTGCTTCAAAAGGACGTCCCAGTGCCTGAAAAGGACGTCACATGTAGCAGTCTACTATGTCGACGTGCAAAGTCCCAATTCACCGAATCCGAGAGCTCAACATGGAAGGGCGCACGAGCGGTTAATCGTGCAGCGAGAAGGCGACTTGCTTGAATTGAAGAAAAAAATGCGCCTTATTTAAGTCGAGAAGACGATAAAGTGGTTGAATATGTCATCTTCTCACCTTCTCTTTATTAACAAGACGTCTTGGCGAGTATTAACAAGTCACCTTCTCGCCTTCTTGACTTAAACAAGGAGTCCTGTCGAGTTCAGTTACCTTCTCTCCTTCGATCTCGGCTGAAACGAGGCGCCGGCCAAGTTTTGACAAGTCGCTCTCTCGGGGTAGGGGGAGAGGGGTAGGGGAGAGGGGGAGGGCGAGAGGGGGAGGGGGAGGGCGAGAGGGGGAGGGGGAGGGCGAGAGGGGGAGGGGGAGAGGGGGACGGGAGGGGTGGGAGGGGTGGGAAGGGAAGTCGAGAAGACGATAAAGTGGTTGAATATGTCATCTTCTCACCTTCTCTTTATTAACAAGACGTCTTGGCGAGTATTAACAAGTCACCTTCTCGCCTTCTTGACTTAAACAAGGAGTCCTGTCGAGTTCAGTTACCTTCTCTCCTTCGATCTCGGCTGAAACGAGGCGCCGGCCAAGTTTTGACAAGTCGCTCTCTCGGGGTAGGGGGAGAGGGGTAGGGGAGAGGGGGAGGGCGAGAGGGGGAGGGGGAGGGCGAGAGGGGGAGGGGGAGAGGGGGACGGGAGGGGTGGGAGGGGTGGGAAGGGAAGGGGCGGAAAGGGGGGTGCATCGAGTTCGCTCAATAAAAGTTTGACCTATCATGATAAAAAACATTTTCCTGCTTTAGTTCCCTGACTAAAGGAATAATCTGTTGTTATGCTCTTGGATGGCTCCCATCTAGCTCTGGTGGCAAAGAACTACAATGCTCCCCAAAACCATGGAAAGAGAATCGGTCCATACAAGTCTTGTAGTCTATCGATATTTTTCGTTTTTTTCATTTTACATTTAGGATGCTATTTTTCTTTAACAATCAGTGTCCTTCCCCTGCAGAGAAGTGCCCCCACTTCGTCTCTCATAGGTAGCTATTCAAAAATGAGAAGTGCCCCTTTTACTACTGATGAGTCCCTCTGCAGTTTTCCTTTCTAATGAGTGCCCCTTTCCGGTTCTGAGAAGTGCACTCTTTTACTACTGTAAAGTTCCCCTTTTCCTTTATAATGAGTGTTTCTCCTTTAAATCAATTGAATTGGGCTTAGTGTCCCTTTTCACATGTGATAAGATCCTTTTGACAAATCTGGTAAACGTTAAGAAAAATTCAGAACAAATCAGTCATATTGCAAAGAGGCATTATTACGACAGGGACTATGACAAGAATTTTCCTCCCTAATTTAACCAAGTGAGAGCACTATTTTGTGAAATTACCTCAAAGCTGTTTTGCTACACTCGCCCGCATTTATTTATTCCATGCAATTATGTTATTAATCTTGAATTTCCAGTTCATTGTTATGATTCGCTCGCTCGCAAAAGAATTATTAAGTTCATTGCAAACAACGGCAACTTAAAAAGGAAATAAAAAGGAAAACGGCGAAAGGAGAAAAGCAATACAATATTGGCGATCCTTAGAACTATTAACTAAATTTAGGGATACACATGTTTACGCAATTATATTTCCGCATAGCGGTTACACTTTGTAGGTACCCCATCTTCCCTGAAGACTTTCTACTACCCCCCCCCCCCCTTCCCTTTGAAAGACGTCTCGTCACCCCTGTGCACTATTTATCTTTTGTACATTGCTTCTTGCTCTTAGGTTATCACGGTCGGAGGGTCGAGAAACCGTATGAATGGCGCGAGCGATGATCGTATCGGAATCTCCAATTACGGTCCTTGTGTCGACATCTACGCCCCAGCAAGAAATATCGACCTTGCTGCCCCTTCCGGAAGCAGTAATTCCAACTACCTAAGATCATCCGGCACCTCCTTTGCAACCCCTGCGGTGGCAGGTATGAAAATCAATAATAAATAATTAAGACAATCATAATTATAATCATAATTATGATCATAATAATCATATTAAAAGTAATAATAATAATTAATGAAAATAATGAGGCAAAGGTTGCAGTCGGGTTTTAGGTAAGAGGTATGATTAAACCTAACTAAAAACTTCAAATGTTTGGTCCAGGGTTGAAGTTATGAATTCGGTTAGTATGGTAAAGGTAAAGGAATGTCCTCGGATTAGTACAGCAACAAAATGATTTTTGTCGCAGAATGTAACTAATGTTGATGCGTGGTTAACATGTGCGCTATAAAATATCTATTAGGCCTCCAATTTAAACTAGTATTATAATTCATATCATTATTATTATTATTATTATTATTATTATTATTATTATCGTTATTATTACTCCTATTATTATCATATCTTTAACGGTTGGTGTACCTAGGTGCTGCCGCCATGATTCTGTCCACCACTAGCTTGACACCTACTGGGAGTGAGACAATGACCGATCTCGTCCTGGACATCCTTATTGCGACAAGTGCCAAGGACAAGCTGACGAGTCTTCCAGCTAGCAACGCCGCGGTTTTACCCTCCTTTAACCGCCTTCTAAACGTTGTCAGCAATACTTACTACGCATAAACCCCCGGTGGGTGTAGTTGGTGATGACAATGTACCATGGTGATTGACATTGTCAATAGCATCGTCTTTGTCAGTGACGTCGTCATTGGAACCCTGGTAGAAGACAACCTATAGTTTAAATTGATTTATAGCTGATTGAAAAAATGATGAAGTAATATAAGTGACGGTATCAAACGTTTCTATCTTTTATTTAAATGAAAATTTCGTTTGATGTTCTCGATATTATTGGTGGTTAGTTTTCGTTTCTTGCTAGAACTGTTTTAACCTAATCTTTCTTCTCATGTCCACCTCATGTCATTAAGTTTATCATGATATCACAAATACTTATTTGAAAAAAAATCTACTGCAGCATAACCATTTCTTTGTTCGGGGGGGGGGGGGGTCGGTGAGGCTTGGGCAATTCTGTTATTCACAGGATCATTTACAAGTATCTTCATTTCTAGATTAGAGTATGTAGTTTTTAGTAATCCATATCTGTAACAACCACAATATAAACATTCACTGGCAATTCGATTTTGGACCTTTGGCGTATTTTCTTTAAGTGCTGTGCGCGTCTCGAAAATATACCACTTAGGGAATATAAGCTCTTTATATTCCCCACCCCAGGACTATGTATATCATGTTCACTGTTAGATAACAATGTATTTTGTCCTATCTCCAGTGGCATAGATTTTGCTCTACATTCTGTCCCCTTTTCTTTACCATGTATTCTAAATATTGAAAATTAAGCTATGAAATGATGATAATAAACGAATGATATTGTTAGTAAGCATATATTTCTTGTTTTTCTAGTTTCTTGTTTTTCTAAGTTAATCGAAGTGCAACCCATCAAGAACCTTTAAAGGTACTATGTCCCTTTTGCAGCCAACCTCAAATTCTGTAGAACTTTGCAGGAATTATGAATATGTCACGTATGTCCTATCTGTGAAATTTGAACGTTAGCAGTGTCCTAATATTCAAATTATGCAAGGAAACCCGTGTACTTGCTAGACTTCACTGTCAGACACTATTGAGTGACTGACTAGCTTTTTTCTTCTTTGGTAATAACATAAATAAAATGAGCTGTAAAGGGTACATGAGCATTTGTCTACACCAATAACCCACTTCTTGTGATGGCCAAAATTAAACTGATTGAATCTTTGCGCAGCATAAAACGTATGACCATTCGGTACAATGGTCCAAAAATCAAGACTATTACTTATTGGCTCTGTAGCTCCTAAGTCGATTTGACAACTAATAGTCGTTATTTTCCCACTTGAAGACATTTTCAAGCCCCACCTTTTTTAGGGAAGTTCTAAATTAGTATTATCTTTCAAATGCCGTTGGAATTTAACCTTTTCATTTTTTTTGGCCTGCAAATGGGACATAGTACCTTTAAAGGATTTAATAAAAAAATATTCCTGATGTTTGCGAATGCCAAAAGGATTATAATGAGAGGGAGAGATAGATATATAGAAAGAGGAAGAGAGGGGAGAAAGAGAAAGAGAAAGAGAAAGAGAGAGAGAGAGCTAGAGAGAGGGGGAGGGGAGACAAAAGAAGAGAGAGGGGAGGGGAGAGAGAGAGAGACATTGCATTGTCTATTTTCGCACCCCTACCCTCTCTCTCTCACACACACATACACACACATTGTATTTGTATGTCTCTTTGTCTCTCTCTCTCTCTCTCTCTCTCCAACACACACACACGCGCGCGCTCTCTCTTTCTCTCTCTCTCTTGTTCTTTCTCTTTTCCTCCTCCTCTCTCTCTTCTCTTTTTAGCTCTCTATAATTTTCTCCAATCTCTTCCATCCTCCCCCCCCCCCCACACACACACACACGCGTCAAGAGCCTACCTTACCCCTTTTGACCCATTACTTAGGCCATGGACGACAAGTCCCCCGCTTATATGGTTAGTGGGAGAAAATGGTTGTCGGTCCACAGAGCCCCCCCCCCCCCCCCCGAACAGACCCAGATTCGGATTTCACCCTAAGTTTAGCCCATGCAACAAACTTTGTCAAAAGAAAGCACTATCACTGTATACAATTAACGGTCAGACGCCCCTAAAATTGGGTTTATATTTTTTGGCATTGATTTAGCATGGACCAACTATGTCCGAAGAAAGAAGTCTATGATATATTAAAAAAGCTAACAAAGAGTTTCCATGGTTATTGAGAGAGTGTCAGAAACCAAGTAAGCTCCTCTATTTTGTTCTTTAATAGGTAAAGATGTTCAAACTTTTTGTTACATTGTATGAAAGAAATGATCATGTGACACCGAGAAATTTAAAACAGCACTCAATAATTACACTACGCGAATTTGAGTAATAAGATAAATAAAGCACTTTTGATTTATCAAGACTGGAAAGCCTTCAAGAACGTTTTGGTAAGGGGAACTTTGATATTTCCTTTTCCCAGATCTAAAAAAAACTGAAAATCGTTTAGTGATTGTACCACCGTAACAATTTTGTTGTTTGTAATACATAGTGAAACTTTATTTTGACAACATGTTGTGCATAAAATTTAATTCAGGACAGAATCATAAGACAATTCGTGAGTCTATAAATGTGAGTTTAAATCATGAATCCTTTATTTTGATATATGTATATTTGTCTTTAAGCACGATAATCATACGTCAATTTGAAAAACACAATATACGCATCGTGTAACAATCATAAATGTTAAATCATAGTCACTTAGCAGTGTCATGATTGTGCCTTTACATAGTTACTGCCAGTGCTCTTTTACATTTAACTCACATTTAAGAGATATTTCATGTATATCAAGAAAATGATTTAATACCACATTACTACGAAGGACCTACACAAGGAAGACCGAGAACCTAAAACAGTATTCCAATGACAAGGGTTCATCGGATCTATACCTTTACAACATAAGTTACTTGACTTTATATAAAGCAATTTAACAGAGGAGTTAAACGAAATGTTATGGATCACATACTATTTGTAATACCAACTGTTTATACATAATTTTGAAAACGGAAAATTCACAGACTTCAAAATGACGATAATGAAAAAAGTATATTCCAAATTAATTATATGCAATTTAATATCGATAGAGACGTGACCGAAAGTCCACGAGACCGTAAATAACTTTACGAGACCAGCTTTGTAGTCTCGTGACCCTTCAAAATTCAAGAACTTTGGGGTCTCGTCGACTTTCAGCCCAATTGGCCTAAAGTGGCCTCAATATACTCTTCTTTTAACCCTGACAACACAATCAATTTTGTTTTACACATAAACATTTGATATGCACTGATTAATCTGGTATTGGATCAATAACACGAAACAGTCATGAAAATATCAATGTAAATCTGATATTAAACATAGCTTCACTTTTACAAACATCGATTTATAAGAAGATTTTTCTTTTAAAAAGACCATTTTATAGGGAATGGCACGATAAACACATACAATTAAATAATTAGAGTTAGAGTTTTAAATTAGAAGTTGCATTGTACGTTAGGGATAAAAGAGGGATAAAAGGTAGATAATTATACGGTATGTATATATGCTTACATTTCAAAGATACATAAATCAAGTATATAACAAATTATTAGACATTTATTATGTATTAGCCATTAGTGCATTTGATTAGAGTTTTAGTTATTCATAGTTTAAAACAAATATTAATAACATACAAATAGCAGCAGCAATATTAGTTAGCAGCGCTGTTGATTAAAACATGTTATTTAGTAATTCAACTTGCAAGGCAATACTGATTATACATCACATAACCATGGCATACGGATATTAAGCAATTCATATAATACTACGTCAAATTAGTATTAGTACTAAATTATACAAAATGAGTTGAAATGGTATATTTAATGTATGATACATTAACAGTATAATGGTTCATTACAGTGATGTTAGTAGTGCTGCTTAGTGTTGGTTATAAATGTATCATGGGTATTAGAAAATCAGTATTGTTATTAGAATATCGTCATTAGGAAATCATATTGTTTTAATGCAATTAAGTTGAAATAATACATGTTGGTGACACACCTTAAAGAATATGGAAAGTAAATGGAATTACATAGCAAGTGAGATTTAAACATATATGAAAATTACGAGGATAAATACGTACATTTAAATTATGAAAATAAATATTTAAAAATAGAAATATGATTATCTTCGCTGAAAAGGAATTTTACAATTATAATTCTTATATTAAATATGCTAACATTTTGCTTGACGTACATTAATTTGATTATGTTAACAAAATATTCAAATAATGCATCCATGCAGAGTGCTATATAAAAGCACCTAATACAGTGTTATTCTCTCTCACTTAAAACTGCCTCCAATGTCTCGAATGTTTGTAGATGTACATCATTGAAAATAACTAATGCAGAATCCTCTTTCAAGCAACAGTTTATGACATTATTTTGGTTGTGCAAGATTCAAAGCTTTCTTTCAAATTTATTTCATTTTTGGCTTCTCCCTTGTTCGTGCGTGGGCGTCGAAGTCCTGATATTTTTTGTGTGAAGAGCAGTTGTCATTGACATGGATGTCATCTAGCTTGTAGCTCATGTTTGCATCTGCAGACTTAAATTGTGATCTCTGGGAAGCATCTAAGATTACAGTTCACTCGTCGTCTTCTTAGCAGCGAAGAGACAAAGGGTGTATCATCTTGCTGTACATAAAATTATGGGAAAAAATAAAATGAGATACCAGATTATATGATAATCACTGTCACTTGCGATGTAGAATATCATCCAGTATTAGAAAAATGCAATCAACGCGAAATACACCACTATGATTTAAATACATCCCCATTTACGTGCAATATGCTTGAAACAGCAGAAGACAGACATATTTCAATGACTTTAGCAAAGCTCAGTTTTCTCGTTATAAGTTTAATTATTGCCCACAACAAGACAACGAAAATGAATAGACATTGGATGAACAGATAAACTGGTCATCTGTACCCACTAGGTGTATTGCACAAGACGTGGACATGAAACTAAATAAAGATATTCGTTAAAATATTATTAGAAACTTAAATATGTAAGAAGAGTTGACAACGAAGAGAATATCAAATTATAATTATGAGACAAAAAACAAAAGATTCATATCGTTATACTTACTATATCTCCGGAGCTATCACTTGGTAGTCGCCCCGGCTCGGTCGTCTTTACCGTGGTAAAGATCCGGTTGCCGTCCATGCCGTCGCCCTGGTAGGCTCCATCCTGATGATCATCGTTGCCGTCATCTTGTTCGTTGCTCTGGTTGCCATCACCCTGGTAGTCACCCTGGCCCCCGCCCTTCTTCCCTCGCTGAAAATGTAAACGAATAGGCACTGTTATAATCCTGTATAATTAACATGTGTGATTTACTGGTGGAGAATGATGACCTAACGGCTACGGCTTCGATTTTCGCCAATCATGGATTAAAGACTTGCATTAATTATGTTAAGCTTATTAAGCTCTAGTTTGTACGGAAGCGTTAAAGTGCCATTCTACTTGACGACATGACGAGATATTTCATCTTGTCAAGTCGACTTAATATCCATATCATGTCGACATGTAAAGATATTTAACCTACCATGTCGACTTATCAACTTTTATTAGTCGACATGGCGAAATAAATTATCTTGCCAAGTCGACTTCACAAAAAGTTCATGTTGTCATGGCGACATAAGTTATTTTACCAAGTCGACTTCTACAAAAATACATGTCGCCATGGCGACATATATTATCTTACCAAGTCGACTACCCAAAAAGTAATGTCGACATGGCGAAATAAATTATCTTGCCAAGTCGACTTCACAAAAAGTTCATGTCGTCATGGCGACATGTATTATCTTGCCAAGTCGACTTCACAAAAAAGTTCATCTCGTAATAGCGACATAAATTATCTCACCAAGTCGTTTTCCCAAAAAGTATATGTCGTCATGGCGAGATATGTAGTGTGACGACTATTTCATGCAGCGCGCGTACGTGATTGCACTTAACTGTAATTCTTAAAACTGACTCCACGTGATCATTTATGTCGCCAAGACGACATCTACTGTTATTAAGTCGACTTGGTAACATATTTTATCTCGCCATGACAACATGTACTTCTTACGAAGTCGACTTGGCAAGATATTTTTATTTCGCCATGACGACATATACTTTTTGGGAAGTCGACTTGGTAAGATAATTTATGTCGCCATGACGACATGAACTTTATGCGAAGTCAACTTGGCAACATAATTTATTTCGCCATGTCGACTAATAAAAGTTGATAAGTCGACATGGTAAGTTAAATATTTTTACATGTCGACATGATATGAATATTAAGTCAACTTGACAAGATGGAATATCTCGTCATGTCGTCAAGTAGAATGGCACTTTAACGCTTCCGTAAGTTTGACAGCCTTTGAAATACAACAATGAAAATATTGGAATTAGGAAATAATTTTCGAGAATTGCAGTGTAGTTGGAAAAGGTCAGAACAAGTAGGTCTCAAAATGCGGATTTCAAAATATCAAACGCAATTGTATTCCACTTTAATGATAATTTCCATCAAGTTTCTTTTATTTCGATAACACCATTAATTTCCGATAATCCTGCTCTATTACATACCTGGTTACTACCGTGGTCGCCATCAGTCTCGTAATCGCTTGCTCACCATCACCATAGTCGTAACCTGGTAGCCGTCGTGGTCGCTCTGTAGGTCACCTTCTTCGCTACATCGTTGTCGTATCCCTGGTAAAATTGAAAAATGCAATGCATTTTTATTACGTTGATTCTGCGGCTATAAAGAATAATACTAGGAAAGAGCTAGAATGAGATCTCTTAGAACAGAATTAGAAATCTCGATCTCGCTGCACCTCTATTCCGAATGGCTTTGTTGAAAAGAGGCTACAACATATTCCACTATATCTTGCTCTTCTGTAACAATTTACTTTTAAAGGGTTATTATTAATGTCCTTTTTCTGCAGGTTCATTACTCCAAAGCTTCATTGATCCGAAGTTTTAATAAATCTAATTGCTTGTTATTCGGAAGGTTCATCATTAAAAGCATAATTACATAATTATAAAATGTATATACAGATCGAGCGCTATATCATTTCCGGAAAATACGAACCAACAGGTCGTAGCTGCTCTACTCACCATCGCCTCGGTTCGTCAGCTCGTCGCCTGGTGGCCATGTTTGTCACATAGTATGAGCCTATATACAAGTTGTATCCCTGGCAGTCGTTCTCTTTCCCTTCCAGTAATCTAAAGGATTGAACAACATTCCAATACTTATGAATTTTATGAATACGTCATAATATAAGCAGATGTGGTATTTTTTCCTCACCCCCTCCCCCATTATTATTCTTTCCATTTGGTTATAATTATTTGGCCCTGTTTTTCATTCCAATTAATATATGCTTTTCATACTTCTTTCTAATTTGTAGCCTTTTATCTCTTCACTTATCTCTTCATAGTAGTTTTAAGCAGATCACCAAACTGTCCCCTAGTGTTTATAAATATATGCAAATAATTCATTATATATCTTTATATCTCTATATAATCATTCAAGTCGTGATATACAACAAACATCCATAAAGCTTCTGTGGCCGTATTGCCTCTGCTTTTGGTATTAACTTCGACATATGAAATCTGCTTAATTTCCTTACTTTACTTTTTGACAATGAAATTATCATTAATTTGTCAGTACTTACCTGTTGATACTTACCCATTTATGAACATGTAAACATTTTCATATTTAATAGCATGCAGATGTCGATGTAGGGTTTGAATCCACGTCGAGGCGTTAATGTCGTTTACATTTTGCCCTCGGAGATCTGAAAAACAATAATTATTGGTGAGACTTTATTGCCGACACGGAGATCTAAAAACAATAATTATTGGTTAGACTTCGTTGCCGACACGGAAATCTGAAAAACAATCATTATTGGTGAGATTTCGTTGCCGACACGAAGAACTGAAAAACAGTAAATATTGGTGAGACTTCGTTGTCGACACGGAGATCTGAAAACGATTATTATTGGTGAGACTGAAAACGATGATCTGAAAACAATACATATTGGCCAGACTTCGTTGCTAAAATGGAGATCTGAAAAACAATAATTATTGGTGAGACTTCGTTGCCGACACGGAGATCTGAAAACAGTGAGACTACGTTGCCGGTACGATGATCTGAAAACAATTATTGGTGAGACTTCGTTGCCGATACGGAAATCCAAAAATAATAGTTATTGGTGAGACTTTGTTGCCGATACGGAGATCTGAAAAACAATTATTATTGGTGAGACTTCGTTGCCGACACGGAGATCTGAAAAACAATTATTATTGGTGAGACTTCGTTGCCGACACGGAGATCTGAAAACGATTATTATTGGTGAGACTGAAAACGATGATCTGAAAACAGTACATATTGGCCAGACTTCGTTGCTAAAATGGAGATCTGAAAAACAATAATTATTGGTGAGACGTCGTTGCCGACACGGAGATCTGAAAAACAATTATTATTGGTGAGACTTCGTTGCCGATACGGAGATCTGAAAAATGCGAGACTACGTTGCCAAAACGATGATCTGAAAACAATTATTGGTGAGACTTCGTTGCCGATACGGAAATCTAAAAATAATAGTTATTGGTGGAATTTTGTTGCCGATACGGAGATCTGAAAAACAATTATTATTGGTGAGACTTCGTTGCCGACACGGAGATCTGAAAAACAATTATTATTGGTGAGACTTCGTTGCCGACACGGAGATCTGAAAAACAATATTATTGGTGAGACTTCGTTGCCGACACGAAGATCTGAAAACAATACTTATTGGTGAGACTTCGTTGCCGACACGGAGATCTGAAAACAATAATTATTGGTGAGACTTCGTTGCCGACACGGAGATCTGAAAACAATTATTATTGGTGAGACTTCGTTGCCGATACGGAAATCTAAAAAACAATACATATTGGCCAGACTTTGTTGCCGATACGGAGATCTAAAAACAATTATTATTGGTGAGACTTCGTTGCCGATACGGAAATCTAAAAATAATAGTTATTGGTAAGACTTCGTTCCTGATACGGAGATCTGAAAACAACGAGACTACTTTGCCAATACGGAGATATGAAAACAATTATTATTGGTGAGACTTCGTTGCCGATACGGAAATCTAAAAATAATAGTTATTGGTAAGACTTCGTTCCTGATACGGAGATCTGAAAACAACGAGACTACTTTGCCAATACGGAGATATGAAAACAATTATTATTGGTGAGACTTCGTTGCCGAAACGAAGATCTGAAAACAGCGAGACTACGTTGCCGATACGGAGATCTGAAAACAATTATTATTGGTGAGACTTCGTTGCCGATACGGAGATCTGAAAACAATAATTGTTGGCACTACGTTGCCGATACGATGATCTGATAAGAATTATTATTGGTGAGACTTCGTTGCCGAAACGCAGATCTGAATAAAAAAATATTATTGGTGAAACTTCGTTGCCGAAACGAAGATCTGAAAACGATTATTATTGGCAAGACTTCGTTGCCGATACGGAGATCTGAAAAACAATAATTATTGGTGAGACGTCGTTGCCGACACGGAGATCTGAAAAACAATTATTATTGGTGAGACTTCGTTGCCGATACGGAGATCTGAAAAATGCGAGACTACGTTGCCATGACGGTGACCTGAACAAAATATTATTGGCGAGACTTCGTTGCCGACACGGAGATCTGAAAACAATAATTATTGGTGAGACTTCGTGGCCGATACGAAGATCTGAAAAATAATTATTATTGGTGAGACTTCGTTGCCGACACGGAGATCTGAAAATAATAATTATTGGCCAAACTTGAGATGTTTAATGAAGGTCATGACCTTTCGATTTCACTTCAGCAATTCCGATATGATATTGCTTTTCTTTGAATTATCTTGTCTTGCAAATATTTTTGTTTTGCAAGTACATGTAAACAAATATTGCTTGGAACAACTGTAGAATACCCCGCCACACAAATAACCCTACCCTGATCCTATATCTAGTCCTAATCATAACCCTCACCCTAACCCTAACTCTAACCAGGAGGGAAGCTCAGCCTAAAACTATATTCTACTGATGCGTGGTATAGAGTATTCTGCAGTTGATACCACAAATTTATCTACCCAATACTGTACCGATATCAATCCTACCATTAATGATACAATTTCTGATACAATTATCAAATCAGTCATTACCTATTAATCATTTATTTATCCTTGTCTAATGCTGGGATAGCATACTATTTTTGTATCTATAAAAATCTTCTAATTCTAATTATAAATCTATGCTTCTTCGTATTATCATTAATCACCGATTACCTAATCATTTATCAAATTATCAATCATAAATTATCAGCTCCTAAGGCTAGGTTATCAATCTCTCTATGAAATATCTACTTTGTCCTATTATTCTACTTCATGATAACTGGAATTTTTCATTTTTACTGCTTAAAATTATGCTTTACTACATTTATTGTAGTTCTTTTATTCTATATTTTGAATTAAATCGATACATATATAACGTAAAAGCATAGTTTACTGAAACAATAACACAATATCTTATGCCTTACTTTATTGTGTAATAGTACACAAATCTATTGATATCGGTACAGTATTGTGTAGGCAATGATTTGCATATGATCAGGAAAGACCAGAGTAAAATAGCGGATCGCAAAAACTTCATAAATTGACTGTGCAAATCGATGCTATTTAACAGTATTTCTATTAAGTAATAATCTAATAATATCCATTAGGTCTAAAAATATTTATTTCACCAAATCCACCGTAATATCACGATAAATATACCAATAAAAGTAATTCAATAAAAATCAAATCAAATATGAAGACGAAAATAATTCATGTTAAAATTCCAAAGTAAGTATAATAATATCTTACCATACTTACAATAGAAGATATTCTGGATTTTGAATCTTAGTTGAAGATTGATGGGTGTTTCTTCTGACACAGAAACCAATCGCTTGAAGAACGTTGCCGCGATGTGACGTGTTCGCAAAGGAATAGGAAGTTTATAGTTTGTCCATTTCCAACCCAACAATCTTCGTGATAATGGAATCTACAATATTCTAAGATGAGTAAGGGTGGATTAAAACTTGGCCCTTACACTACTTTAATATTAATTAAGGGCCTATGTGTATCAATGTTGTCCTAACGTTTAGATTTGGCCAAGCTCAAACCCATCCTGACCCATCTCAGTGAATTATAGAGCTCCATTAAGATCACAAGTGATATTGCTGAATTCTCTACAGACAACTTTCACTTACCCCGACATCTAGTTGTTCAGTCTCAGCATTCTCCGGTTCAGTCTGGCAGGAATATAATCCAAATGATTGAATATCCATCCAACAAATATTTCCTTGCACACACAATAAATAGGATCCAAAAGAATTCCTCAGGCAATCGTCGATTCAGGTCCAATATACATGATTCATAAACAAGTGTTCAGCAATGTTATTCCATATGGTGATCTTGGTAGTAGAAATCGTCAATGTTTGCATTTAATCTTGAAGCCTTTCTGCGCGTCACAGACCAATCAACAAACCTTTTGCAAGGTTCGAATCAGTCAGGATGATATTTGGCTTTGGCGAATTCTGTAGACGATTTTGACATCAGGCCCTTCTTAGTTATGCTTTCTTCAGTTAATGGTGATATTTGAAAGAATGGTTCATCTTATTACCATCCGTTTCCATATCTGTCTGCTTCTGAAGCACGCGTCGAAATGTTCACTTGGAGATAGATGATTGGAAATTTAGCAAAATACGCGATATACATCGATGCTGTTTATCAAGTTTGAGGGCCTGTTCCTGAATTGAACATATTATTAGGTCACAGGACCTTCGAACTGTATATTTCAGCTGAAGAGATGGCGTTTGGATTTCAAAGTATGTTGAAACATCCAACATGTTTTCCGAATGTCGAACAGAGTCCCGAGAATTGTGTTGCAGAAAAGTCCAATCATCGTTGTCGAAAATCAAATCGTAACGATACCATATACAGTGGACACAGGATTAATCACACTCAGTCCTTTATGTCCAGAAAAGAGTTTAAACTTGATATATTTGTGCCGAATAGATGATAGATTCCGAAATTGGTTGAATGCAGTCACAAAAAGCCCAGTGTCTTTGATTAGTACAGGTTAATGTCTCCACGTTGCAGCAAGTCCACTTGTGTCAATAACCATGCACTGTCCAAGGGACATCCTTTTCTTCATAACAAGAAGTTCATGTCCAGAAAGAATTGCGAAGAGGTTAAACTCGAGATGGAAGTCCCAGGTTGGGGCATTGCATTCCCGATGTGCGTGGCGACCCATTGGCTTGAAGAAGATGTTCCTGTATATCAGTTCGGCCTCATCCTCTACCTGTATACATGGCATGAAAATATAATAAAAGCCAATGAAAATGTAATAAAAGCCAATGATTTTTATTTAATATATTTAATCGAAAATTAATATGTTTAAATTTAATAGACCGGTTTACTATTAAACACATTTTAATTTATGGATGTTTCTTTCCTGGGGACCTAGTGACGAATTATTCCATTAACCTGTTATTAGTGAATGAACTACAATACT